CCCAACGCTGACAGTGGCAATCATATCTTGGTAATAGTTATTCTGTGTGTGAATTAGGGATATTAGCATCGTGTTCACATTAAAACGATATATATAACTGTTGTCAGGGTAACAACTGAAGCGTGCCGTGAACCTTTCTTTTACTACATCATATTAATATTATAGTAGATATATATACAGTACATGGTAATTTATCGTGTGTAAACCACTTTATGGCTGTGGAAATTATAAAAGAATGATCTTTATTTATTTATATATATATTTATTAACTTATTTATTTATTCTTTTTGCTAAGATTGGGACTAATTTTGTATGGATATATTGTGTTTGGGATGACCTAGTATTTTCATGCAAATATTCTCTGCTTTTTCCAGTACGTTATTACTCTGCGGGTATTTTTGTATTAACTTACTGAGCGTCGGGTATCTTTTTATAATGGACACGTTTACACTTAATTATTTAATGAGTATTTTTATTTTTTCTCTTCATGTCTAGTTAGAGTTTCATGCATCACACACACTTCTTTCAGCCTTCATAGGGTAAGGACGTGTGTGGTCGGCGCTGAGGGATGGCAATCACAGTCCTCCACTCTAAACGTTCTCGGGCTGTTTTTACCAATCCTCAACAGTTTGAATCTCTCTTGGGACCCAGTTTTTAATTTCACTCATCCATCCCTGTTTATGCCTTGCCCTGACCCTCCTACCCTTAACTTTGCCCATTAATATTTCTGTTATTATCCCCTCATCCCTAATTACATGAACAGAGTAGATAATCTTTCCTTTTCTGTACATTTCAAGTATTTCTCATGAAATTTTTGCTAATCTTGGTACTTCTTCATTTGTTTTCCTGTCATTGCAGCTTTCTGGTGTCTGCTTAAAGTGTCCGTGCTTCTGACCCATACATCAGTACTTGTCATATAAAGTCATTCAGTAGTCTTTTTCTCAAATTGAAGTTAGTGCTCCTTTTCATTTGGCCTTTTGCTTTATTAAATGCTGTTTTTACTCGCCCTATTCTTGTTTTGATTTCTTCCGTACATCTACCATCACAGCTAATGTTACTTCCCAAATACACAAAATATTCCATTTGATTAAGTTCCCTGTTGCCTACCATAATTTGTATTTTTGGATTTATTTCGAATTTGTAAACAACCATTACTTTCGTCTTTACAGCATTAAACCATAATTTTTACCTTTATCCACAATCTGTTAACGAGTTTTTGTAATACCTCTCCACTCGCTGTGATAAGAGCAGTATCATCTGCATAACGTACATTTGATATTACGAGTACCTTACCATAAACGTTTAGTTCTTCATTATCATCACTTATAACTTCTCTCAATGAGAATTCTAAATATATATTATACAATGTTGGGGATCGAACACAGCCTTGTCTTACTTCCCCGTCTGTGATCCAAATAATAAGTTCATTATGATATTTACAAACACTGCAGCTTCGTCTTGCCAGTAAAAATTCTTTAAAATTCTAGTATCTCCATTATATTTACTTTAACTTATCAAAGGATTTTTTTCAAAATTAACAAAGCAGATATACAAATTTCTTTGGACTCCTAAAAGCTCTCATTCAAAATTCTCAAACCAAATATAGCTTCTCTAGTAACTTTTCCCCTTCGAAATTCATTTTGGTCTTCAGATAAACTCACTTTATTCTAAACTAATTCTACTTAAAATAATGTTGAATACAATTTTTGCACGGATGACATACTAAGCTTATTGTTCTAAACTGTGTGCACTGAGGCTCCTTGCTTTCGAAATCACTGGGAAGGTCTCCTTTGAAGTATATATAATTAAATATTTTAGTCAAACATTCTATCCCATTCTTGCCCATTTGTGTGATGCATTCTACTGGAAGCTGATCAATCCCGCAAGATTTGTCATTTTTCATTTTGCTCACAGCTGCCTCAACTTGTGTTTCCAGAATTGGTATTTCGATCTTTATTTCCTTTTCGTTATTTACCTCTACTCTATCCTTATCATTGTATGCTTCTTCTACGTACTCTGTCCATCTCTCCTTTACTTCTTCTGCCTCAAACAGGATTTTAATGTCTTTGTTTTTAATAATCCAACTCCAATTATTTCCCTTTTTTGGGGGGTTGATTAGTTTAAACTTTCTGAACATTTCCCTACATTATGCCATCTGGATTAAGAACATAAGAACATAAGAATGGAGGAAACTGCAGCGGGCCTATTGGCCCATACTGGGCAGTCCCGTTTACACCCAACCCCTATTGCTCATATGAGCATCCAACCTATGTTTGAAGCAATTCAGCGTATTCGAGTTAATGATGATATTTGGTAACTTGTTCCATTCATCCACTACTCTGTTTCCAAACCAGTGTTTACCTATTTCACGCCTAAATCCTGGTTGGATAGTTTGAGTACCTTTGTAATGTCCCCTTTGTTTAGCCCTGCCTTCCACTTATACACCTCTATCAGGTCGCCCCTCGCTCTACGTCTCTCAAGGGAGTGCAAATTAAGATGCTTTAACCTGTCTCTATACTCAAGGTTCCTAATGCCCGGGATTAGTCTTGTCATTCTCCTCTGAATTCTTTCCAAGGATTCTATATCCATTCTGTAATACGGTGACCAGAACTGAACTGCATAATCCAGGTGTGGTCTCACAAGAGCAAGATACAGTTTTAGGATGACCTCGCTAGTCTTGTAACTAACACTCCTTTGTATGAACCCAAGTACTTTATTAGCCTTGTTACGAGCAAAAACACATTGTTTACTTGGCTTAAGGTTCTCTACTTATCATTAATCTCCTATAAGTACTTTACATTTGTCGACGTTGAATTTCATCTGCCATTTTTCAGACCATTCGAAAAATTTGTTTAGATCTTCCTGTAGTTTTGCCGAGTCCTCGACAGATTTGATAACACGTCCTATTTTAGTGTCATCAGCAAATTTACTTATGTTGCTGTCAATGCCGATATCTATGTCGTTTATGTATATAATAAATAATAATGGTCCAAGTACTGAGCCTTGGGGAACTCCACTTGTGACTTTGCTCCAATGGGACTTAGTGCCGTTAATGCTCACTCGCTGTTTCCTGTCCTGTAACCACTCCCTAATCCATTTAAGGATGTCACCTTTGATGCCATGAGCTTCTACCTTTCTAATTAGTCTTTCGTGGGGGACTCTGTCGAAGGCTTTGCTAAAGTCGAGATATACCACATCATAATTGTGCCCCTCGTCCACCGATTCGAAAACTGATGAAAAGAATGTTAATAGATTAGTTAGGCAAGAACGTCCGCTTGTGAAGCCATGCTGGGAATCATTGATCAATCGGTGCTTCTCCAGGTGATTTCGAATAGAGTTTGAAATGATTGCTTCCAGTAATTTGCCTACTATTGATGTTAGGCTGATTGGGCGGATTATACGGGTGTATAATCCACTTTATTCAATAGTTTTAAAAATGTTGTAAAAGTCGGATATACAAAAATAAAAAGCAACACAATTTGACATTTTTTTTATTCGGACAAAAATTAAAAACTCCACTTTTTTCACACAACCAAATACACACTAGATTAAATATAACTTTCCACAACCAATTAAAAACTACAACAATATAACTGTTTTCATTCATAAACAAAAAATAACCAAACAAAAATTATATATAATTTTAAAACAATATAATAATTAACTAAAAGTATTTTATATTAATTTAGTATCTAAAAACAAAATAATAATTTAAGTAAATATTAAATTAGGGACAATTAAAAAACAACTTGAAATAATATACTTGTAAATTCAAGAAAATATTAGAATTTTAACTCCAGAAACATAAACTTTGGCACTGATGATAAATAATCGACTTTTCTGTTAGGCCTTGCTGGGTTAGGTTAGGTTAGGTTAATTTATGTAAACTTCATAAGTGAAATTAGGATATTGGAACTCTATCTTTCTTTTTCCAATGGTTAAGGATTTAAAATATTGGTACTTTTTGTAATTATAACATTTGTAACCTATTTTTCCCTCATGTTCGTCACTCCAAAGATTCGGGATACACAGTAGACCAATGGTACCTTGCTCTAAATAGTACCTTGTTCTATAATGGTTCCTTGCTCTACAATGGTACCTTGCTCTACAATGATGCCTAGCTCTACAATGGTACCTTGCTGTACAATGGTGCCTTTGCTGTACAATGGTATCTTGCTCTACAATGATGCCTTGCTCTACAATGTTACCTTGCTCTACAATGGTACCTTGCTCTACAATGGTGCCTTTCTCTACAATGGTACCTTGTTCTACAATGGTACCTTGCTCTACAATGGTATCTTGTTCTATAATGGTATCTTGTTCTATAATGGTACCTTGCTCTACAATGGTATCTTGTTCTATAATGGTATCTTGTTCTATAATGGTACCTTGCTCTATAATGGTATCTTGTTCTATAATGGTATCTTGCTCTACAATGGTATCTTGTTCTATAATGGTATCTTGTTCTATAATGGTACCTTGCTCTACAATGGTATCTTGTTCTATAATGGTATCTTGTTCTATAATGGTACCTTGTTCTACAATGGTACCTTGCTCTATAATGGTACCTTGCTCTATAATGGTACCTTGCTCTATAATGGTACCTTGTTCTATAATGGTACCTTGTTCTACAATGGTACCTTGCTCTATAATGGTACCTTGCTCTATAATGGTACCTTGCTCTATTATGGTATCTTGTTCTATAATGGTATCTTGTTCTATAATGGTATCTTGTTCTATAATGGTATCTTGTTCTATAATGGTATCTTGTTCTATAATGGTATCTTGTTCTATAATGGTACCTTGTTCTATAATGGTATCTTGTTCTATAATGGTATCTTGCTCTATAATGGTATCTTGTTCTATAATGGTATCTTGCTCTATAATGGTATCTTGTTCTATAATGGTACCTTGCTCTATAATGGTACCTTGTTCTATAATGGTATCTTGTTCTATAATGGTATCTTGCTCTATAATGGTATCTTGTTCTATAATGGTACCTTACTCTATAATGGTATCTTGTTCTATAATGGTACCTTGCACTACAATGGTATCTAGTGCTTCTCTTTCCAATGGTCGAGGTTCAGACTTTGAATACATTTAGAGTCACATGATAAGAGAGGGTTAAAAGGGCTTATGACCATCAACGACCAACGTTGGACTTGATTCAGTTCTCTGATGTTGTTGCAGAGAAGACGAGAGAAGGAGACCAGCTGGAGCTCTCTCAGTTGATCTACGGAGGTGAGAGATAGAGGAGAATTATGTTCAATTTGGAGATATAAGAGAGATATTGAGAGAAAGTGATTCTTTTTGTCTCACTTACCAACAGTAAAAGCTCCCGGGGAGTCCTTGTACTCGAACCAGAATCTGTCTCCCATCTTGATTCTCACAAACTGGTCTGCCAAGATACAGGCGAGGGTGGGACCCACATTGCCGCCAGTCACTTTCTTCTCTGATAGAGCGCCGACAAACAGGTCGATGTCCTCAACCCTCCTGCGGGACCATAGATAGTTAGTCAGAAAGATTGACAGAGATATATATAGATCATTATATGTATCAGTTTCTCTCATCGCCTCAGGTAAATCATGAATAATTTGACAAGTGAGAGTGTCAGGTCGTTTTGAGGTCACCTATATTACCTTTATTAAGTCTTAATACTGAAGGCTAGTCGCGTTTGTACCCACATGTGGAAACATAATCAAACCATTTACTCTTTGACCCACTTGACCCTGTGGTCCAACCTGTCTGTCCGTCTCTCTCTCTCTTTATGCATCTATTATATCTCTATATCTCTTTCTCTCGTTGTATCTCACTTGTAGGCCTTCTTCAGATTAACTAAGGTCTGAGGCTCCATGTCAGGTACAAGCTCATCAAAGTTATTGACAGGTTTCAGGCCACACGCCATCCTGTATCTGACGTAGCCAGGTATGCCGTGGTCCCTCCCTCGTTGTAAGTTGAGAGCGAGAAGGTCCAGCCCAAACTGCTTCATACGACGGAACAGCTTCCCGGTCACCTGTATAACCACGAGTTGTATTCAGTGCGGTACACCAGATTACCTAAACTAACCAGACAAATAAGAATTTGTTAAAAACTTGAAATCACCAAAATATTCACCCCCAGGCTTATTTCATCATGATTAAACACTCCAAAAAACCCCGTGACTCATCTAAATCAAGTGACTCACCTTGGACCACGGGAATCACGTATAGAAACTCACCGCCATAGTTATGCCCATGTCCACATTGCCTGCAGCCTGGACCAGCCCTCCTCTCACTAGTCTCTCAGGTACTCCCGGCAGGTACAGTGCGAAAGGGTTAAATGACACACTACTGAAGTCTTCAACTGTGGTTCTTCCATTTTGCGCTACTTCAAAAAGTTGGTCCTGTATGTAGTAGAGATATATAGTTGAGTGTGAGAGATAGTTTGTGGGAGATAGTTCTGAAGGTGAGAGACGTGTGTATAGGAGAGAGATATATGTGTGCTTGTAAGGTAACACACACACACACACACACACTGGTCTCGATCTTCTTCCCCTTTTTTATTTTCTTCTCTGGTGGCGTGGATCAGAGAAGCCCCTCCCCTCCCCTCCCCTCCTCCCTCCCTTCCCTCCCCTCCCTCCCTTCCCCTCCCTTCCCCCCATTGCAGTTGAAGTATAAAATAGCGTTGAATGATGCTTTTGCTCTTCGATGTTCTAAATGTTGGGTTCAGATAGTGACATTCTCGTCTTCAATGCATGTATGACGGCTGCAAATCACGCTCCATAACACAATGGTAGTGCTTGATGAACGTTAATACATTACATTATGCCGCTGATGAGTAGGGATCAGGAGCAAATTGGTGGAGACAGGTGTATTAAGTTATTGATGGATACAGGTGTTTGAGGTTTATTTACATGTCACTAGTCAACAAAAGTTTTTGGGTGGATTACGCACACACACACCTATAAACTCCCCTACACACACACACACACACACACACACACCTTTAAACTCCCCTACACACACACCCTGCCAACACACACACACACACACACAAGCACCTATAAACTTCCCTACACACACACACACACACACACACCTATAAACTCCCCTACACACACACACACACACACACACACACCTTTAAACTCCCCTACACACACACCCTGCCAACACACACACACACACACACAAGCACCTATAAACTTCCCTACACACACATACCCTCCCAGCACACAAACACACACCACCCCACACTCCTCCCACACACCCCGAACACTTACGGGAATTTGGGAGTGACCAAATCTGAAGGCAGCAGTAGCGAACTCAGTCGTCATAGATGGATCAATTCTGTCACTATAATCAGTTGTTTGTTGACCATCAGTTCCTGTATTGAGTCCAGCTGCTGCCATGAGCTTAGGACCTGTCGAGTACATAACACAGGTATTAAGGGTGTTTATCAGGTGCTACATATTAACACATATTAGCTATTTTATGTGTTTACTGGTTAAATATTAACACAAAGGAGCAATGATGTGTATTTAAGTGTTACGTATTAACATATATTGGATTTTATCAGTGTTTAAGTGTTACAGTCAAACACATGTTGACTATTATAATGTTTTCAAGTATCTGCGTTGACTTCTACAATAGTCTGTGAGAAATCCGTATATTTTCTCTCTCTGTCTTTCGGTCTCTCACTCACTCACTTAACACAGGAGGCAAATATTCATTGTAAGCAACTTGTTGAATCTCCGCTACAACTATTCGCTTCGCCTCTTGAAACAGTCTCTCATCATCCCAGTGAGGGTTGATCTTCGCCAGTCTTTTCGCCAGGCGGTTGTGTTCCCTCGCCCACACCGTCGTTACCGTCGTCAAAAACCTTTGTTCGTTCACTCGGTTATCGCCTGAGGAATACGAAAATTATTGGAAGGGATGATACATTGATGAATGTTATAGCAGGTATTGGAATTGTTAGGTTTATTTAGGTTACAGACACAGAGAGAGAGAGAGATACTTACCCGCCTTAAAACAGTACTCCCCCTCAGCGCTCTTTGCCGGCGCATTACAGCCTGGAAGATTCTTGTCTGGCCAGAGTAGTTCCACCCCGTCCCTCGTTAACTATAAGTATAGAGATAATTGTATTATTATAGTGAGAGACAGTAAGAGGTATCGAGAGAAGATGAGAGATAATGGTGACTTGATAAGAGATTCTAAGAGAGAGAAAGAGTAGCCTCACCTGGGTCTTCAATAGGCCACCTTGGAAGGTTCGTAGTTCGGCAGCTTCTTCAAGAGATATCCCATATACACTGCCACCATCAACATACGAGGTCAGTTGGTTCAGTTGTTTCCTCGGTCCTGGGGGAGATTATTAATTTACTGGCCACTTATGTTACATTATAATAAACTAAGATTAAACTAATACAGGTAATTTTATCGTTAAGTAATCATTATTTAGTCGCCCTTTATGCTACACCCCCCAGATACACTCACAACCTGAGTGTATTCCTCTATGGTACACCAGTATACTCACTTACGGTACACCAGTATACTCACCTTAGGTACACCAGTATACTCGCCTAAGGTACACAAGTATACTCCCATAAGATACACTAGTATACTCACCTAAGGTAAACAAGTATACTCCCTTAAGATACACCAGTATACTCACCTAAGGTACACAAGTATACTCCCATAAGATACACCAGTATAATCACCTAAGGTACACAAGTATACTCCCATAAGATATACCAGTATACTCACCTCACCTAAGGTACCACAAGTATACTCCTTAAGATACACCAATTATACTCACCTAAGGTAAACAAGTATACTCCCTTAAGATACACCAGTATACTCACCTAAGGTACACAAGTATACTCCCATAAGATACACCAGTATAATCACCTAAGGTACACAAGTATACTCCCATAAGATATACCAGTATACTCACCTAAGGCACACCTGTCGGCAGGTGCAGATCGCACAAACTCCATACATTTGACGGCATAAGGGCTGTAGAAGTTGTCGCCAGCGGGGATGGTGATCGGTGCACACTGTGGGTGTAGCAGGTCTGGGTTGTCCTGCACCTCCTTACTGCAGCATGTTATAGTGCTGCCGTTCACTCCTGTACCGTATAGCAAGGTTACATTACCGTATAGCAAGGTTACATTACCGTATAGCATGGACACTGTACCGTATTACATGGTTACTTTACTATAACAAAGGTTTTGTGTCGACTTACTTTACTCAGTCGGGGTGGTACTGTAGTTACTAAAGGGGGTCACTTGACTCTATGTACATTTAGGTATCCATCCATCTGTTACTGGGGGAATCCTTTGTTTTAGATTAATGTATTAGTTATTAAGGGTAGTGGAAAGAGATATTTTCCATTTTAAGTTTATTCAGTAAGGATGTGAGATGAGGTCGCCTGTGTTCGTCCTATTTCTAACTAGACACCGTAGGGGGTGGGGGGGTGGTGGAGTTCACTATACACCCGCAAAACTAAAGAGAAAACATTAGGTACACATAACCGATCCTTCAGTATCGACGGTCGCCGGGCCCCACACACAGGAACCTCACCCCCACACTTCAACAGCCAAACTGTCTGTCTTTTTCTTACACTGCCTATCCCGTTGTCGAGGAGGCCTTTTCAGTCTCCAATCACAGTAGGTTTTTTCCAAGGGTCCTTATGTTCTGTTACCCTGATTGGTTGGCACACTGTATGGGCGGGGTTATCTCCATGGCACCCCATTTAGGTTTACATGTTATTCTCTGAGGATATAACTAATTGTGTCCATTCGGTCTGACAAGTATCATAAACATTGTAAGGGTCGTTCACATGGGTGTATGGGTGCCTGCCTGTGTGTATTACATTACCGTATAGCGTGGATACTGTACCGTATAGCATGGTTCCTGTACCTTATACTATGGTTACTGTACGGTATAGCATGGTTACTGTACCGTATAGCATGGTTCCTGTACCTTATAGCATGGTTACTGTACCGTATCCCATGGTTACTGTACGGTATATCATGGTAACTATAACGTACAGCATGGTTACTGTACCTTATGGCATGGTTGCTGTACCGTATCCCATGGTTACTGTACGGTATAGCAGTTACTGTACGGTATAGCATGGTAACTGTACCGCATAGCATGGTAACTATATCGTATAGCATGGTTACTATACCTTATACTATGGTTACTGTACGGTATAGCATGGTAACTATCGTATAGCATGGTTCCTGTACCTTATAGCATGGTTACTGTACCGTATCCCATGGTTACTGTTCGGTATATCATGGTAACTATAACGTGCAGCATGGTTACTGCCTTATGGCATGGTTGCTGTACCTTATACTATGGTTACTGTACGGTATAGCATGGCTGTATCGTATAGCATGGTTCCTGCCTTATACTATGGTTACTGTACCGTATAGCATGGTAACTGTATCGTATAGCATGGTTCCTGTACCTTATACTATGGTTACTGTACGGTATAGCATGGTAACTGTATCGTATAGCATGGTAACTGTACCTTATACTATAGTTACTGTACCGTATAGCATGGTTCCTGTACCTTATACTATGGTTACTGTACCGTATAGCATGGTTCCTGTACCATATACTATGGTTACTGTACCGTATAGCATGGTAACTGTATCGTATAGCATGGTTCCTGTACCTTATACTATGGTTACTGTACCGTATAGCATGGTTCCTGTACCTTATACTATGGTTACTGTACCGTATAGCATGGTAACTGTACCTTATACTATGGTTACTGTACGGTATAGCATGGTAACTGTATCGTATAGCATGGTTCCTGTACCTTATACTATGGTTACTGTACGGTATAGCATGGTAACTGTATCGTATAGCTGGTTCCTGTACCCTATGGTTACTGTACCGTATAGCATGGTTCCTGTACCTTATACTATGGTTACTGTACCGTATAGCATGGTAACTGTATCGTATAGCATGGTTCCACCTTATACTATGGTTTACTGTACGGTATAGCATGGTAACTGTATCGTATAGCATGGTTCCTGTACCTTATAGCATGGTTACTGTACCGTATCCCATGGTTACTGTACGGTATATCATAGTAACTATAACGTACAGCATGGTTACTGTACCTTACTATGGTTACTGTACGGTATAGCATGGTATCGTATAGCATGGTTCCTGTACCTTATAGCATGGTTACTGTACCGTATCCCATGGTTACTGTACGGTATTCATGGTAACTATAACGTACAGCATGGTTACTGTACCTTATGGCATGGTTGCTGTACCTTATACTATGGTTACTGTACGGTATAGCATGGTAACTGTATCGTATAGCATGGTTCCTGTACCTTATACTATGGTTACTGTACCGTATAGCATGGTAACTGTACCTTATACTATAGTTTACTGTACGGTATAGCATGGTAACTGTATCGTATAGCATGGTTCCTGTACCTTATACTATGGTTACTGTACGGTATAGCATGGTAACTGTATCGTATAGCATGGTAACTGTACCTTATACTATGGTTACTGTACGGTATAGCATGGATACTGTACCGTATAGCATGGTTCCTGTACCTTATACTATGGTTACTGTACGGTATAGCATGGTAACTGTATCGTATAGCATGGTTCCTGTACCTTCTATGGTTACTGTACGGTATAGCATGGTAACTGTATCGTATAGCATGGTTCCTGTACCTTATACTATGGTTTACTGTACCGTATCCATGGTTACTGTACGGTATAGCAGTTACTGTACGGTATAGCATGGTAACTGTACCGTATAATGGTTCCTGTACCTTATACTATGGTTACTGTACGGTATAGCATGGTAACTGTATCGTATAGCATGGTTCCTGTACCTTATACTATGGTTACTGTACGGTATAGCATGGTAACTGTATCGTATAGCATGGTTCCTGTACCTTATAGCATGGTTACTGTACCGTATCCATGGTTACTGTACGGTATATCATGGTAACTATAACGTACAGCATGGTTACTGTACCTTATACTATGGTTACTGTACGGTATAGCATGGTAACTGTATCGTATAGCATGGTTCCTGTACCTTATAGCATGGTTACTGTACCGTATCCCATGGTTACTGTACGGTATGCTAATTAACTTACCGTATATAGCATGGTTCCTGTACCTTATACTATGGTTACTGTACGGTATAGCATGGTTACTGTACCGTATAGCATGGTTCCTGTACCTTATAGCATGGTTACTGTACCGTATCCCATGGTTACTGTACGGTATATCATGGTAACTATAACGTACAGCATGGTTACTGTACCTTATGGCATGGTTGCTGTACCGTATCCCATGGTTACTGTACGGTATAGCAGTTACTGTACGGTATAGCATGGTAACTGTACCGCATAGCATGGTAACTATATCGTATAGCATGGTTACTATACATGCACAGTATAGCGTATTTACATTACGGAATATCACGGTTACTGTAGCGTAGAGCAAGGTTACTGTGTCGTATAGTAAGATTACAGTACCGTAGAGCAAGATAACTGCACCGTATTGCAAGGTTACTGTACCACACACATACACCTGACCTTGAGTGGTTGGAAGCTCACCTTTACTCATGGGCGTCTCGGTCAGGTCATGATCCAGGAACTGGCCGAAAGTCATGTGAAGAAAGTTGAGGCAAGTCTTCTGACCTGCGGACTGTGAGGGGGTGACACTTCACTTACTTAAACAGAAGAAATGTAGCAATAGTAAAATATTCAGTAATAAATTATGTAGTAATAAACCAGACATTATGTTACTCATAAACTTTTAAGTATTTGAATGATGGAAAAGTATTAAGTTTAGAATAATTAAGTGAACTTTTCCTTCGGTGTGTGTGTGTGTGTGTGTGCCAACATACTTTAAAGTTGACAGTGGTGCTCACAAGACGGGCATTAGGCAGGTCTCCTCCGTCTGCTGCTTGTCTTAACGTCATAACACCTGTAAAGATAGATAGGTGTTATGATGTTACAGCTGGTGCACACACACACACACACACACACCATCCCATCTATTGTTAAAATAATAAACAACTCCTGATTTATGTACTGTACAGCCCTGTAAATGTATTCAACGCATATTATATCATGATGTCTAAATCAAATGAAAGTGTATATTTTCAGCCACCGGCTGCAACTCTATTAAAAACCGTTTATTATTATTATTATTATTATTATTATTATTATTATTATTATTATTATTATTATTATTATTATTATTATTATTATTATTATTATTATTATTATTATTATTATTATTATTACATACACACACACACATACACACCATCACCAAATTCAGATGGAGCAAGACGTCTGAAGGAAGTGAAAGCAGCTCCTGTCTCTGGGTTTCTAAGATTATTACAGGTGCCATCTTGATTTCTAAAACGTCTCTTGGGGTCACAAGGTTCTCTCTTTTGTCTAATTCTCTCGTCTTCACATTCCTTCGGGGATTTCAACTTCTGTATGGCAAAGTTCAGCTGATTTCTGTCCAAGTTAAACCTGAAGTTGAGAGTTATGATGTTAGTTGTGATGTTTGGTAGAGGTTTTTTTTTGTGTGTGTACGGGAGGCGTTAACCAGAATAAAATACGTAAGTGCGCTGCTCCCGTCTAAAAGGTTAATGGTGTCTCTGTACGTAGACGTGCCA